CTTCCTCCTCTCTGAGCTTCCCCTCTGAGCCAAGGCTTGGTACCCCACCCCCTCCATCAAGTTGGAAGAGATTTTATCAGCTGTGAGCAGCACTCCTGCTATTGCGTGCTGTACTTTGGTGAGTGTGTGCGTGTGTGGTTGTATGCGTATGCATGTATGTGTGTGTGTGTGTACAAGCGTGTATGTGTGTGCATGTGTGCACACGTGTGTACATACATTTGTGTGTGTGTGTGTGTGTCAACCTATAGAATGTTCAGACAACTTTCCTTTGAAAGTCTTAATCCATTTTGACGCTTGAATTTGGCCTTTCAAGGTCTCTTACTGGGTGTTTTGATCTCGGTTTGCCTCTGATATTTGATAACTCTGAAGATCACCCAAGTTATGACTGCTCCGGAATCTTGCCAGAAGTGACCTCTCCCCCCACCCTGGTTATGCCTGGGAACTGCAGGATAACGCTCAGTTTGTGCTTCCTCAGGCAAACCTGGGCCTACCCACTACTTCCCTCGGAGAACACAGCCTATAGCTTTTAAATTTGAGCCGGAGCTCTCAGCACACATAAGCTTTGGTTCCGTCTAGATCCACAGTTGTAGCCATGTGGTTTCATCCTCTTTTTCTGGAATAACCCCCTCTAATTGGAAGACAGACGCAGAGAATTTTATATTCAAGAACGGTAATGAAGTACTTTGGGGGACGCTGTTAACTCCCCATGATTTAAGGCTGCCACGGCAGCAGTTTACCAGGTGAAATGGGGCGTGACCTGGGAGAAAGTTAGTGGGTTTAGCTTCGTGTTTCTGAGGGAAGCTGTCACCCTTCTGCTGCTCATTTCTTTTCTGAATATAATCTTCGAGGGGATGCTGATACTATTGTTTAAATTAATGAGGGGTGTGCTGTTGTATCTGTCAATCTCCCCTCCCCAGGTAAAAGAAGAAATGAAAACCCTTGCCCAAGATAAAGGAGTTAACTCTTTCAAGATGTTTATGGCCTACAAAGATCTATACATGGTGCACGACGAGCAGATGTACTCAGCTTTCTCTCAGTGCAAGGAGATTGGAGCCGTTGCTCAGGTGCACGCCGAAAACGGAGACCTGATCGCAGAGGTGAGCATCCCTTCTCAAGCCTTGTATAGACAGGAAAGCAGCTGTGACTTAAAGCAAGGACACTGGATCCTAAGAAGGTAGACTCTGCACACGGAAGGGCAGAAACTAAGTTATCTGTGTTGCGTACACACCTGATTTGGTTTTCTTGGTCACTGCTTTTGATTTTGTTCGGTGGGTCTACATGGTTGAGCGAAGTATTCTCCTTTTCAACCAGCTACCTATATTCAGTTTTTAAAATGTGATGTTATTTTCTTTGAGCCTTACTTATTTATTACTTACATGTATGCGTGCCTGCATGAGTTTACGTGTGCCCTGTGCATGCGGTGCCTGTAGAGGTCAGGAGAAGTTGCATCGCCTGGAGCTGGAGTTACAGACAGTTACAGTTGTGAGCTGCCGTGTGGGTGCTGGGAACCGAACCCGAGTCCTCTGGAAGAGCAGCCAGTGCCCATCACTGCCGAGCCATCTCTCCAGACTCCGCAGAACATTTCCTTTATGTTCCTTGGCACTGGTTTGTTTTCAGAGGCTTGGGCTGCTGGTACCGAATGCTAATGTGTGGACATCAGCGTGGTCCTGATGAGGGAGCAGATGGCATTTTAAAGCCGTACACGTCCCAGAGACTGGGTATTAAAATGTGCTCCCGGGAACCCAGAGATGTTTCTTTCTCAATGTTAGCTCCATTACTAATGCCCAAAGGGTATGCCATCTGCAAGATTTAAAGAGCTGTCTCTACACCCTTTCTATTAGCTGATTTCTTTTCTTTCCCCAGGCTTAGCTCCCATTAAAGTAAGTAAGATTGCAGCTCAGTAGCCAGGAGGCAGTGGGGAAATGAGAAGAAGTGTGAGCCATAGACTCAAAAGGACCAGAGTTTAAATTTTCCTGATGTGACTTCTTCACTGTGTGACATGAGCAAGTGGTGTCATTCTTCTGAAACTTGACTGGCAGCCCTTTTTGAGGAAGGGGGGGAGGAAGGAAGGAAGGAAGGAAGGAAGGAAGATTTGAAAATAATGGACCTAATATTATTAGTGTATTGAGTTGGGAGCAGTAGAGACTACAATGCGGTAGAAAAATAAAACTAAATAAAACTATATCACGATGACTCACTTCAGCAAGGTTCTGTTTTGTTTGCCTGAATTAATTCAGTGAGTCTCAAGCACCGACAGT